GCAGCAGAAATTGCAGCAACTTTTTCTTTTCTTTTTGGGTCCGAATTCCATTCCGTTAACCTTACGAAATCCACCCGAGGCCCTCAGGACCTTAGCCAATTATATCAACATGTACCACAATATCATTCAAACTTGTCCCAACCTTCGGAACACCCAAAATAACATCAAAACATCAAATCATCATCAGATTCAAGCCTATGAATCTCAAGAACTTTCAAATTCCATTTTTGATAAAAAACCCAACCAAACCACGTCCGAATGACCTCAAATTTTGCAGACAAGTCCAAAATGATATAATGAAGCTATAACAACTCTCGGAATTCTATTCCGACTCTCAGATCAAAATATCACCTATCAACCGGAAATCGCCAAAATACTAACTTTGCCAATTCAAGTCTAATTCTACACCGGACCTCCAAAATTACTTCCAATCACACTCCTAAGTCACAAATCATCCCCCGAAGCTAACCGAATCATCGGAATTCAAATCCGAGCCCTCCAATCACACTCCTTAAAAGAGATTAAGTGTCTCATTTCCTAACAAAACCAATCCGATTTAACTCTAACACACCGAATACCGATAACGAAACATGAAGAAGCATAAAAATGGGGGAAACGGGGCGGTAACTCACGTGACGATGGGTCGGGTCGTCACATTCTCCCCAACTTAAACAAACGCTCGTCCTCTAGCGTACCCAGAGTTGTCCTAGAAGCCAACCGAAAGCTGAATGACCTTATCAAGCATAAACCCGGGGAAGATCCCACGTCACCCTATCTCACATGGGTCTGATAACACGTTTTAACTAAAATCACACAATCCAGTCTAGCCCATAAATCATAGAACCACATTTCACTTTTCGGAATCATACACAAGATCAAAACCTCACACATATATTCAGAATAAGTCTGAACCAGCTATAATAGACCATGCCTGCAACCTCGGGTGCAATTATATGATATACCAATAACTCAAACACATGCATCGATAACTTCCATTCACAGCAGTTGCCCACAATAACCAAATATCGATAAAAATTTCTTATTAGCCAAGGTCTCATTCCAACACTTTCATATACTGCCAACGGTAATTGAAACACACAATAAACCATAATTATTGCTCAGATCAACCATTCATGAGGCCATTTCTCCTCTGGCAATTACCATAACAAATTTTTGAACCGAACCTCGATGTTTACCCATTACACATACTGAAATCGAAACCATTCGCATTCATTAATGATTTCAACGATCTCTTCTGACCAAACACACTACCTTGGTGACATGACACATCAATACATGCCTAAGCCACAACTTGCATAATGCGTGCACCAATAAGAAACGGTCCGAACATACTCAATTCATGAAAATGACTCAACTGAGAGAGCTGTACCTCAAACTCACCAGTATTGCCACAACACAAGGCTGAGACCCTGTCTCACATCATAGAAACAGGACACACAAATTTGACCCGCAATGTCATGTTTCCAGACAGCTTTGCTGCAACGCACGTTCCTATCCAAATACTACTCCACAGGAAACACCTCAAGTCAATATGCTTGAAATCGACAACCATGCTCAATTGATGTCTGGAGCCAAAGCAAATCATTACACCCATGGTGAAACAAATAACACACACCACGCAGACCTGATAGAACATAACCGGTACTTTATTTACCGAGCAACACCCAATTACTCATCCCGCTCGACTTCCACTACTACAGCTCCTATCGGAGCCAGACGATTCCGTGCCCGACACCAAATTAATACCGAAATCAACAACCTCGCCCGGCGACATGCCTAGCCATATGAAACTCATCTGAAAAGTCCCTCAACACCGGAACTGAATTAGTGATAGCAACCTTTGCACTGACATCCATCACGAATGCCCAATTAAGAAAGCAATCCTTCCCAACCGTCCGCTGGTTCTTTGAAATATAAACCACTCTGCTAGAACATAATCCAATGCACTTCATCACTCGACCCGTGGCATTTTCGGTATTGCCCGTAGTGCAATAGTTCAGAATCACTCAACACTAAGACAACCAGTCTGAATTCCGACATCACATCCAAAATCTAACATACCAGCAAACAAAGATCCACTCGATTCTCCAAATCCCGATTGCTGCTAAACGGTGCCGAATACACACGGTCCACCACCACAACCTAGCCTGTACATGAGAACTTCCCGTCTCCAACTCCATATGGAACACAAATCATCATACCTGATTCCAGTTTCCACCGTGCGAATACATGCACACCTTTGATACCCAATCATTCCACGACAGATACTCAAAATTTTCCTGTGCTACCAAGCAAACCCGAATACCACCAGTGGACCCACCAAGAACATGCCGCAATACTACCGAAATATCATCAGTTTAATCACATTACCTTTTTCTGAGACATATACTCTCATCAAATCACTTCCAATTAGCAATACCATTTCCTTAATCATCTGAAGATCATTCACCCTAATCATCTGAAGCTCATTTCTCTAATCACCTAAAGCTGCCCGTACCACCTAAGAATGTTATGAATTTCCATTCAGAACTGAACTGTAACCTTACACACGCAAATCTCAATCCTTCACAACATATCGCATATACCATACCATCCTAAGGTAACATGAGGACTTCACCTCCTTTCCGAACCATGAACGTTTACGTACTCAACTAGTCAAGAACTTCCATTGATCCCATCTAGAAGAAAAATCATTACACATCCCATGCTCTGCATGACATACATAGGTCTTGTTCAAATTCTTACAATACCGACACGACGGATGAGATCTGTATAAATTCATAACACCGCTGAATCAAAAATTCATTAGGTCTATACTTCTTGCAAGAACTATCACCTCATTATGAACCAAACAATGATCTTAGCCCCTTAATTTACTTCATATACTCAGATTGCACTGATCTCGAATTCAATGATCTCGTCTCACCCATTACGAAAAGCTCAGGCAATAAGCCACCCCAGACATAATCAAAAGCCGCATATGATGCCCCCAGTATGCCAATAGGCTACCAATTCGAACGCGATACAAAAAAGGAAAACGAACTCTGGAAGGAATTTTCAATCCCACGTACTAATACGGACTTTCCTTAGAAAACAGGAAGCAAGACATACAAAATAGCATATAGAAAACTATACTCAACATCACACTGTTGCAAACTTCATACATGGTTTACATCTTTAATCAATCAAGTGATCATATGCCATACTTATATAATCTATCCGTAGGACACACTCCCACAACCTACCACAACCATATCTGGAGCGTACCTCCAAACCACCGGTCGCACTAACGCTGAAGAGCGATCAAGAATTATTAACCAGGACGCAAAACCTTTTTTTTTACAAAACACCGATCTTAGGTGACGCTGAAGANCAAAACCTTTTTTTTTTTTTTACAAAACACCAATCTTAGGTGACGCTGAAGACAATACCAACTTACCGTAAACATTGAAACTTATCTACTGCTCATCCGAGCTCATGACATCTTGTAAAAAAGTTTCCTTCACTCGTGCCATTCTCGGCCCAATTTCCACAACCAGAACGGATTCACCAGCCTGCATCAAATCGGAACTAACATAGTACATAACCGCACAATCCGCTAACCAATAGCAAGATCTCCAACTTGGATCGAAGCCATAGATCACAACATACTATACTCATAATGCATATACTCCATTGTTGCCTCAATACCATAATGAGATTAAACTCGATCCTTCATAAGCTTGTGGAAACACAAATCATTTAGAATTTTTAACTCTTCTGCAAATCTCGCATTCACTCACACAACAGTTAAGCCCACTCTCTAGGCGATCCAATTTAGATTTCAACACATTCTATTCACTTGCAATTGAGGTCTTCTAATAGATAACATAAGGATAACACAACTTTAGAACACCCCGCAGGAGATGACCCACCTGCTTTGCCTCCAACTAACATTTCTGCATACCTTCCACCGCCATAAACATTACGTAGTCACTTGATCTTCCTGAGTCTGTACTCATACCGCAACATGAAATTTACTTCACTCCCAACTAGGAGACATGAAAAGATTCTTCACACGCCCATAACTCGGGCTATATCTTGAATCACAATGGACTTCAAGCATCTATTAATTCTTCCATCATTCAACAGACCCTTCTCGTCGCATCCAAATCATATAGATATGCCTCACAGTACTAACATACTCATCACATAGCCACAACCATCATTTCCACTAATAGGAACACTACCGAACATATAAGTTCAAAAACACTTGTTCACATAATCAGCACCTCGACACTCCAGCCATAGGCAAAGATCCAACCTCAAGTCCTCCAGATTGGCCCACCATAAACTCACAAAGATAACACATCACCCCTCGATCGGGGAATCACAAGCCATCGAGGCACATCTGATACTAAGCGCTCATGCGCGCATACAAACGCGTGGAAGGAATTTCAAAAGTTTCTTTTCAAGACGAATCAAGGACGCACGATAAGAATTCAAGAATGTGAAGTTTTCCTAAAGGTTATGCAGCCTCTCGAGGATAAATACAGATGTCTCCGTACCGATCTGCGAGACTCTACTAAATCGGCTCATGACTCGCTAGACCAATTAACCTAGGCTCTGATACCAACTTGTCACGACCCCAACCCCGGTCATGATGGTGCCCAACACACTGCTAGGCAAGCCCGACCATTCAACAACATTATCCCAAATTCTTATTCAGATTATAGATAAATATCACAGAGAATTTACTAAGTCATTTCATTCAAGTGTATAATCAATAATAAAATCTGCGGAAGTTCAATTAAAATACCACACCATATCCCAATAGAATCCGGTGTCACAAATATGAGCCTCTAATACAGAATATCCATCTATTGCAAGTCTGTCTAGGAAAAAATACGGAATAAAAGATAGAGATAGAGGGGAGAGATCAAGGCTGCGAATGCCATGCAGCTACCTCAATACTCCCGGATACTGCTGCTCAGCTAAACAAATCCTCACTCAGTCCGTGGTGTACCTGGATCTGCACACAAGGTGCAGAGAGTAATGTGAGTACTCCGACCCAGTGAGTAATAAACATAAATAAAGATTAAGAATAAGAAATCATGGAAAAATACAAAGCAAGCTATAACTGGCAGTTTAGAACAACAAATAGTGGAGCAACAAGTCAATTAAATCAGAGTACCAAATACTGACACAGGTATAACAGATAAAAACAAATGCATGAGTGCAATGCAATACATATGATGGTACTCTCTAGTACCCACTGCGGTGTGCAACCCGAGCCATCCATTTTATTTATCGTCGACGGCGCTCACTAGGGGTATGTACAGACTCTGGAGGGGCTCCTACAGCCCGAACGCAATAACAAGCCACCTCGTGGCATCAATCCAGTCCTGGTCAGTCATTGTTACCTGACTAATTTATATCACACAGTGCCATTGTTACCACTGTTTCAAGTCACATCATATAGTGTCATGGTTACCACTGTTTCAAATCACTGCTGCGGCGCGCAGCCCGATCCATGCTCAGTCCAGAAATCATAATAAGCCCGTTGGGCATTTGTAAAACAGTAGTTCTCAGCCCGAAATATCATTTAGAAATATCATTTAAGTTTTCAAATCTTAGAAAGATGGCTGAGTTTGCAAAACAGTATTTAAAACCTTGGACTGAGATCAAATGATATGCATGTATGCGAAAACAGTGATGTCAATCCCTGAAGGATTCAAATAATTGGCAAGAAGCCCAAATGTAACAATTAAATCCTAGTAAGGATGATTTTCAATTTAGTTCAAGTAGAAAATACGGTAAAAATATCTCTCGGGACGGACTAAGTCACAATCCCCAACGGTGCTCTACCCCACGCCCGTTATCCGGCGTGCAATTCACCTCAATATAGCGTTACGATGTGAAATTCCGGGGTTTCAAACTCTCAGGACATCATTTACATCAATTGCTTACCTCAAACCGGCTAAAGCTCTAGCTCGCTATACCCTTGCCTCTTAAATTAGCCTCCTCGTGCCACAAATCTGCTCAAAATCACAACGAATATGTCGCATTATGCTAAAGGGACAATACCCAATCGAAAACACTCGAAAAATATCAAAATTAACGAATTTGGCGAAACCCGAGCCCCGAGCCCACGTCTCAAAACTCAGAAATTTTTATACCAAAATGTTCTTCGTCCTCTCACGAGGCCGTACATATAAAGAACACAAAAATCGGAGCTCGTTTGACCCTTCAAATTGACCCTAGAAAATCTCAAAAGCACAAGCCCTAAAACCCCACTTTTCTACTGATTTTCATGTTCTAATTCACATATAATCTTGTATTTAACTTGGAAATAAGTAGAAACAACTCACTTTTGATGCTTGATAAAATCCCCCTTGAAATTCTCTCCAAAATCATCCAAGCCAAATGAAAGAAATGAAAGAAATAAGCCAAATCTGTGTTTAAAGAATCTGTCCGTGCTTCGTCGAGTTGTACCTTGCACTTGTGCTATACAGGTTGTATATCCTATTAAAATTTTCCCTTGTCGGACACCTTCTGTTTAATCACCCATAACGTCTTGTATATATATCCAAATTACAAACGGTTTGAATATTTAGAAACTAGACTCGAAGATCTTTAATTTGATAGGTTGTACACCATATAACTCTTTATATATCCCGAGATATGAGCTTCTAAAGGCAATTCCATGAAATCAGAAAATTATGGAGAAACTGCTCCACCAGTCATCTTCAATCGATCATACCTTTCTCTATATATGTCCAAATTATGCTTTACTTAGCTTTCTGGAAACTAGATGCGAAGGGCTACAACTTCCGTTTTTGAATCATCTCAAAATTCTTTGTAGATCAAAAGATATAGGCCTCCGAAGTACGCTCCACGACTGCACATTTGCTGTCCAAAGACAGCTTAGCAGCAGAAATTGCAGCAGCTTTTTCTTTTCTTTTTGGGTCCGAATTCCATTCCGTTAACCTTCGAAATCCACCCGATGCCCTCGGAACCTTAGCCAATTATATCAACATATCCCACAATATCATTCAAACTTGTCCCAACCTTCGGAACACCCAAAATAACATCAAAACATCAAATCATCATCGGATTCAAGCCTATGAATCTCAAGAACTTCTAAATTCCATTTTTGATTAAAAACCCAACCAAACCACGTCCGAATGACCTCACATTTTGCAGACAAGTCCAAAATGACATAACGAAGCTACAACAACTCTCGGAATTCCATTCCGACTCTCGGATCAAAATATCACCTATCAATCGGAAATCGCCAAAATACTAACTTCGCCAATTCAAGCCTAATTCTACACCGGACCTCCAAAATTACTTCCGATCACACTCCTAAGTCACAAATCATCCTCTGAAGCTAACCAAATCATTGGAATTCAAATCCGAGCCCTCTAACACATAAGTCAACGTTCGGTTGACTTTTCCAACTTAAACCTCCTTAAAAGAGACTATGTGTCTCATTTCCTATCAAAACCAATCCGATTTAACTCTAACACACCGAATACCGATAACGAAACATGAAGAAGCATAAAACTGGGGGAAACGGGGCGGTAACACATGTGACGACGGGTCGGGTCGTCACGGAAAGGCTCAAATACATAATCTATTTATTCCACTGTAGGTTTAACATTTTAGAATCCTTCTAAGTAGACTCAGTTCATAAGGACTGTTCTCAAGTGTTTTCTAGCATAGTTAATAGTAGGCATTCACCACTTATAACAACTAAATTAATGGTGTTCATTTAGAGCTTTTCTGAGGGGGCATGCCAATTGGTCAAGCATCAAAGTCTTTCAACAGGAAAAGATCAATCTTGCTCAACACTAATGGATTGATCATGCAGCATATAGGTCATCAAAATTTCTAACTGTTAGACTTAAAAAAACTCAGGTTAAGTCCCTTCAGGAGATGACATGATCAGGTATAAATCTTAGCAGGCAACACAGTGATGCAAGCATACAATTTCCTCAAGCTAAAGGCATAGAAAGGTTTCATGGCCATAACTGGAACAACGGAGGTAGCAAAACAGATATGAACACAAGTACATGTGTCAATGAAAGCCATTCAATTAATGATACAGTAAAGATCTCAAACAAACATTGTTATACAGTTCAAAGTCATAGGGCAACTAGTGATGACAAATATCGCCAAAACACAGAATGAACAGTTTCAGTGATAGCCATACTAATAAGTTCCCTACATGATCTCAAACCATAATATAGACACACATGAATCACCAAATATACATCAAGGCAGACAGATCAAATATAAGACATGAGCTGTAAGGAAAAACAATTCATTGAGCCAAGATATGTCAGCACAGCTTCACAAGCATGAAGGTTCAGTTGATCCTATTACTAGAGATATGCAATCTTAACATGACATAAGGGAGAGTCCAAGAACATGATTTAACTAACTTATCTAGTGTGATAGTGTTTATATGGTTATTACTTCAGCTGACAGATGTGGATCACCCATAAGATCATTTCAACTAAACTAATCACAAAGACTTAACAGGAACTGTTAATAAGGATAACAATGTAGAATAATCCTAACTAGCTAAACTATGAAAGTTAAGGTTCATATGACCATCACAAAACAATATAGCTATCAGGAAATATCATCAGCCGCCGAAGAAACAGGATGAAATACATTGCAGGACATCGTGAAAGTTGTATATTAGCATGCATAGCATCTCGGACATGATGATCAAGGTGGTACCATGTAACAAGTATTAGCATAACTTTCAAGAGAGGTTAGAATCCTGATTTAGTCTACTTTGGTATATATNGTATAGGGCTTTAGCTTGTTAATTACAAAAGCTTAACAGGATTTAATAGTAACAACAATACATATGTACTTTCAGTCAACTAGGTCATAAGAGATGGGATTCACGCTCAACACATATTTGGTAATAACCAAGACAACATGATTCATCACGAGAATCACTAACCTAGCAGTAGAATGACATGCAGAAGAAGGACATAACAAGGATAGTCACATAACACTGATGCATATCATAAACGAAGGGAATTAACATGGAAAAATACCACAGATACCAGAATTACATGATTAATTCACAGATAGAAAGAAAGTTAGTATGTCAGTGTACTGACCATTTGTAGGGCAGCAAACCAAGTAAATGTCACGACCCGGATTTCCCACCCTTGGGAGTCGTGATGGCACCTACTCGTGAAAGCTAGGCAAGCCGAGTATTATGGATTCGCTAACTCTTTTATTTAGCCCTTTTTAACAGTTTAAATCAACATGCGATCAACAGTGAAATATTGACAATAATCAAATACATGCGGAAGACATAAATCTGATAACTTAGTCGAAAACAAGTATGACAATATCAAGTACATCTCTACCGGAGCCGGTGTCACAATACCACGAACCGTCTACGAATACTAGCAACAATTGTCTAGAAAGAAAGATACAATCTGTCTCTGAAGTAAATGAAAACAGAATATAAAGCTAGAAGAGAACGTCAGGGCTTGCGGACGCCTGCAGGACTGCCTCGAATTCTCTGACTGGACTGAAGGCACCCACCCAAAGCTATGGTCCAAAAGCTGCCGCTCCGGGATCTGCACACAGTGTAGATTGTAGTATCAGCATAACCGACCCCATGTGCTGGTAAGTGCCTGGCCTAACCCCGGCGAAGCAGTGACGAGGCTAGGACCAGACTACCAAATAAACCTGTGTAGTTATATAATATACATCGGAAAATAAAATAGAAATAAACGAGTAAAGATGGGAGGGGGACATGCTGCGGGGGAATATCATTTACCAACAGTAATTTAAGAGAAAACATAAAGAACAATTTAGAATCCACAGCAAAATACTAAGGAACACGTAACCAACCAATAAGTACTTTTATTATCTATTGTTGTGGCGCGCAACCCGATCCAAATCATAAAAGCACTTTTGCGGCGTACAAACCGATCCAAACATATTATTGTTGCGGCATGAAACCCTATCCAAACATATTATTGTTGCGGCGTGCAACTCGATCCAAACATATTATTGTTGCGGCGTGCAACCCTATCCAAACATATTATTATTGCGGTGTGCAACCCGATCCAAACATATTATTGTTGCGGCATACAACGTGATCCACATATACTATTCAACACCAATCACAAAGAGAGTCCTGACAAGGGATAAATAAAGAAACAACACTATCCCGACAAGGAATTCGACAGTATAAGTAAATACGTCCCGGCAAGGGAAAAATCAGGTATAACCAAACTTGTTCCAACATCTAACTTCCTCATCTAGCACCAATACTCAATCATAAGTAATTTCCACGAGAACAATCATAATCCTTTCTCAACACAGAGAATCAACAACTTAAGCATTCGTAGTATTTGCTAAGAACACAACAATTTCAATTTAAGACTCAGGGTCATGCTTGACACCAATGTATAGATACTCGTCACCATGCCTATACGTCGTACTCAACAAGTAACATGCAACAAATAGGACCCAACTCCTAATCCCTCAAGCTAAGGTTAGACCAAATACTTACCTCGAACTTCCACGGCCAACCCAAGCATCAAACACCGTTTTTCTTTTAGAATTTGCCTCCAAACAAGTTGTATCTAGTCCAAATTGATTTAACAACATCAATAAATGTTAAAGAATTCATACCCAATGCTTAATTATAGGTTTTTCTATCATTTTTCCCAAAAAGTCAAAAATTGACCCCGGGCCCGCTTGGTCAAAACACAAGGTTCAGACCGATCACCCCAAGCCCGAATATATAATTAGTTTCGAAATCTGACCCCAAAATGAGGTCTAAATTCCAATTATTCGAAAAGCCCTAACTCTACCCAAATCCCCAATTTTCTACCATTTAAACCCTAGGATTTTAGATAAAAGTTGATGAAAACATTAGAGAGTTGAAAGTAATCAGTTAATGAACACTTACTTATGAATTGGGAAGAAAATCTCTTGAGAAAAAAGCCCTAAGCCTTCTATCTTTATGAAATTTTAAAAGAGAAAACACTGAAGTTTTGTTTTAAAAGACTCCACTGCCCGACTCTCGCACCTGCGGTCCTTGGGTCGCACCTGCGTACTCGCACGTGCGGAAAACATACCGCTTCTGCGAAAATGATTAGGCCCGCTGGGGCCGCATCTGCGAGGGGAGACCCGCTCCTACGGAACCGCTTCTGCGGGAGCTTGTCCGCATTTGCGAGAGGCTGGACCACACGTGCGACCCACTATTCACACCTGCGATGCTTGACTCGCAGGTGTGGTTACACCAGAACTGATGCAACAACAGTGATTTCCTAAGCCAAAACACCCCGGAACCTACCCGAAACTCATCCGAGCCGAGGGCTCCAAACCAAACATGCACACTACCTCAAAAATACCTACGGACTGGCTCGTGCGATCAAATCACCAAAATAACATCAATAACTATGAATTTAACATCAAAATCATGAAATCACTTAAGAACTTCAAATCTTTCAAT